GAGACAAATGCATGGCATGAGCTGAGGATGAGATAAAAATTCTCTGGTATCTGTGTTTAGTATCCCATGAGAGGTTTTTATTCAAACCGATTTGTCTGTATAGAGCCTGTCTTCAGAGTTATCTTCCTCAGCCTAGACAGAGGTACCAAAAACAAGGAATGTAGAGGTCACCTGAAAGAATGATTAGAGCATCCTCCACCACATCATGAGATGACTCACTCTCTACAACCAGCGCAGAGTCGACGTTGTCTTCCTCAAATGTGATTTCATTGGTGTCTCTGTGAGGCTGGCTGGAGTCAGTAGGGCCATACCTATTTGAATGAGTGATGACATATTCCTCCAGTGAGTCCTCAGGCACTTTCTTGACTTCAACCTTCTGCGCCTCCCTGATGAGCCAGATGGGATAGAGATGATAGAAGATTAAACAAAGAGGGATTGGACCCCAGGGAGTCCTAGCTGGTTTTCACAGGAGGAATGAGAGAGTGGTCCCAGAAGGCAAATTGGAGGTTCCCTTTGAGAGGAAACAGGCAATCCTCGTCTCTGCAACAGAGGATGGCTGCCATGGGAACTGGACAGAAAGACAGCAGCTGGTATTCATCACACTGGGCAGAAAGGAGCAGGGAATGAAGAGACTCAGTTATCCCTGTAAAATTCAGACACAGCACTCAGCACATACAAAGAACCACAACAGCTGCCACACCCTGTGTTTAAGTTGGGTTGAACTGAACATATTGTGGCCAAGGGAATGTGGGCTTTTGGCCCATGGGAGACCCCACAGAGGGTGTGCTTCTAGACCTTTTCCATACTTTACCACCCATTACTTGCTCCTGATTATTCAGTGTTACCTGGGGGCAAGTGATTCCTGTATCTTCTCAGCCTCCACAACATGAACATCTTCATCCTCATCTTTGTCATTTTCTGCAAGTACAGATGTGTTTGTTCAGATATTTCCCATTTCACACTCTGCAAGGACAGTCAGCCCAATGTGCGCAGGGACATGAACATTTGTGTATGGGTCCCTGTTCTACTGAAAGCTCTCATGTTTTCTCTTTAACAAAATGCCCCGGTATGGTTTCCTGATCCACCAGGCAGTGCATTTCTGATCCGGATTCTCACCATCAAGATGAGGCCAAATGTTGAAAACACTTCTGCTCTCCACATCACTGGAGGCTTGTGCAGCCTCTCCCTGGACTTGGCAGCTGTCTCCACCATCCTAAAACAGATCTGATTCCCAGGGACAGGCTTGGGATCCTGTCACAGTTCACATTTACAACCTATTTCTTTCTCTTAGGAGAGGATAAACAAACTTGTCCCACAATCCTCTGCACATCAGGTGACTTCACAGGCCCTCTAAGTGGCTTCTGCTATGTTATTCAGGGACATTCTCTCCACGGGGAGTGCTTCAGTCTGAACCACTTCCTAATACCAGATGCTCACACATCAAGTGCTTTCTCCAACACCACACAGCGAGGGGCTTTATCTCATTGTGATAAGCGGTCATAAGTGTTTGCACATTTGAATGCTTCAGACACTGCAAGATGTCTGCCTTTGCAGATGGAGAGAGAGAAATTTGCCTGCCTTTGCAGATGAAGACAGAGAAAGTCAGGAAGGAGAAATCAATTGCTCACTGACAGTTCCTAGGAACACTGCTGAAGATACAGCCTGGGAACCTTCATTCTTACTCCAGAGCTCTTTCCACTCCAAYAACCRCCCTCCTGTCACAGCTTCCTTCATGTCCTTTACAACTGGAGAGATGCTGCCTCTTGCTCCAAAGACCACCATCCACCATGGAAGGAGGGACATTTACAATACTGTGACCTCCAACCCCATGGGTTTCCTATCTGTGTTCTCATTCAGAAAGTCCTAGTCACATCATGGCCACATATGTTTAGTGGAAGAAAACACCACTGATAAAACTGTCATCACGGAAGTATGGAGGTCTGGAGTCTCTCATAAGACCATAAAGGAAATATGCACAGACTAATAAAGTTTCTCTTATGCAAGACACAGTAGAATGAAAAACTAATGGACAGTGATTACTCTGTGCCAACAACTGTCTCCAAGAAGCAACTTGGAAGGAGCTCAGGAGACTGGCCCAGGGTCCCTCCTCTACGCACTGCTGCCTCCACAAAGTAGTACGTGCTGTCATTCTTCCTCTTAACCAACAAGAGCCTCTGCACAGAAAGCAGGATGTCCCTCTGACCAGAGTAATCACTGTCTTGATGACACCACTTACAGACACCACAGGTTATGTAAGGAGCAGAGTCCTCTTTAAGCTCCCGATAGCGGGTAGAGTGTGCTACCATCGCATTTCCCCCAGAACACAACTTTCCCTACTGAGCCTCAGCAGAAACTGGAACCGAGTGGAAGTTCAGCAGCCTCAGACATTTAGAACAGACTAGATGCTACTTTTCTGCAGGATCTTAGGTGGTACAGAGAGGATTACTGTAAACATGATTTAGCCTCTTGCTGAGAAACACAGGTGTTTCTGCAGAAACACCTGAGACTTTACCCTCAGTCCCACACCTGCCTTACTGCAGATGTGGAAAAGTTGCTACATACTTTGGCCTCTCTCATCCACCTTTAACAACATGTTAAAATACCCATTTATATTTTCCTAGACGTATGGCAAAAATGAAATTAATTTTGATGAAGAGAGTCTTTAGTTTCTCAGAGGAAACACAGAACATCGTTCAGCACTCTGGTGACGGTGAACCTATGGAACTTACTTTCTGTCTTCAGCCTGCAGCCCGGGTAGTGGGCCACTTGATTCATAAGAAGTTTATTTTTGCTGTCTTTGTATTTCTGTTCCTCCTCATGACATTTCAGATCTTCTGTAAGCAAATTCAGAAGAGCAGGTCAGATTAAGCAAATCGCACTATGCACAACATCAAATCAGTGTCTAGTCATATCACAAAAATGAAAAATATTCTGTTTAAGAATGTGATATTCAGACGGGAGTGTTCTTCTGGTCCCTAGATTAAGT